CAATCGGTCTAATAAATATCAACAAAGCTGACAGACAGACTGACGGAAACGGGAGGCCTATATGTCACACTCGATGGAACGTTTTTGTGCATTTCAATTTCAATCTTCACAACATTTTGAAAGATTACCTATTTTTACAGTGGATGAACATTTTTGTTAGCACCTTACCATTTTCGTTATAAAAGTGTATATTTAAAATATACATAAACATATTTATTTAATGATTAAAAATTTCCAATACGATGTGAAATTCTTTCTGTAACTCACAAGATGAGCCGCACTTTCCTCTAGGGCGTTGTCGGTTATCATTTTAAACATTTAATAATAATTAATATATAAATAAAAATTAATAAATTAATTTAAAATTCTAATTTCATCAAAAGATATAAGCGACGCTGGAAACTGCACAGTTACATAACAAAGTACTACTTATATCCACATCGTACTTTTCGTATGATAGCAATCTATTGATTACATCTGTGGCTCTTCGAGCCAATATAAGTTAAATTGTGATTAAAACTGATTTATCAGTTTCATGTGCGTAAATGATAATTGAAGATACTCCATCATAATCATTAGTTTTTTATTTTGTTGAATAAACCAAACTGGGAATATTTGCCGTCGTCTGCTACTTCCCCTTTGATACTTACAATAAGCACACACCAACATTATCAAATATATAAATACGTAGATAATAAGAGTACATTAAACAGTGTTAATGTGCAAATTTTCCTAATTTGCAGCACATAATTAATACCTACATCCCAACAGCAAAAACCTTTAATTCGTAGTATACTTTATCACCCATAATTTCTATTTTTAGATTGTATGACAACACATTTCCATGACTAGAGGACGTTAGACTGCGAATACTCACCTCACCTGCCTGAGAAGTTTACGACTTGCTACGAAATAGTAGACTATTCGATTTAAGCATGATATTAGATTGTTATCCAACACTAGTTTCGAAAGATACAAATACAAATTAATAGCAACACACTTTTTATGTATCTACCTACCTAACGTATTGTGTAGTATACACTAGTAAGTGCTACTCTCTCGTTAATATTAATCTGCATTTTTATAAAACCGCCTTTTCTCATTACAGTTTATGCTCCCACGTATTTATACTACCTCTTATCTAGTTACTATATAACAATTTTTCTGTCAAAATTTGACCCAGTTAGAGATTCGATAGTATTTTAGAGAAAAGGTTTAACTGAATTAAGATAGTCATGAATGAAGTAACAAAAAAATGTTACAGTTAGAAAGAACACCAAGTAAATGCCACATTCCCACAAATAAATCACAGACCTATTTTGCCGCAGTGCCTGTATTTTCCTTCTGGCAACAGCCCAATTTAATTGATCTATTTATGTACTTATCCTTAATGAAATTAGTTTTTACATAAGTGTAAAAATTTCCAATCATCATATTCCGTTTATTTTGATTCGTTGCCTGTTTGGTTGTCTCACATAAATGTATTTTGGTCCGCAAATTCGATCGATTCACCACTGGTATATTATCACACCTTCTTTTACAAGTATTGATTAGAGAAAAAGTAACTCTAGGCTGTTCTAACCAGATAAAAATGGGTATAGACTATACTACCAGACCTTCCTATGACTAAAAACAACTAATTCTGGTTCTTCCGACTTGTATGCTAATATTCTCGTTGTGCAATAATTATACATAATAATATTGTATTTATCAGAGAAGTCAAGGCTCTGTGATAAATTAAATATAGCCAGATTCGTGATATAAGGTTGTTGTGAAGTTCATAACTCAGTCCGGTCTGATCTTAATGTAACGATTTAAAAGTAAGCACCAATGGTATTAGATTGGCTATTTTCCAAATTTAATTTATTATCCACATTGTGGAGAGTTGTGGAGCATTTAAATTCTGAAAATGTTAGCAAATATAGGACTTCCTCTTAGTTTGTTAAAGTCTGTCAGATTGCAAAATTATGCAGTAGGAGCATGGTACAATTTGGCAATTGGATGTTTCGTGTGATGACCAAAATTAAATAAAGGTTCATATCCTGTACTACTCGTTTTCAGCATTGCCACAAATTGTTCACCACATCGCGATTTTATCACAATTTCCTTGCAACGTCAGAGGCGGAATTTTATAGAAGTTGTATTATTTACTGCACATCACTTCCCCGTCTATGGTAAATATTGTAGATATTACATATCACGTGACTGCTTTTACAAAAACAATTCTTGTTTGCAATGAGCGATTATATTCAATGTGAATATCGACAAACTCAAACAACTGCATAGCTTTGCAATAAACAAAAACAGATTGCATCAAACAAGTTTGGAAAAATACCTTAAGAAGTACACTTAAAATATCTTTGGGTCGAGTGTGAGCGCGTTTTAACCAGTTATTCCTGCCCCTGCGTTTGAATAAAAATAGTAACTGACACAGTTAACTTTACACGTTTGCACGCATACTGGAAGAAAATGTTGGGTACATAATTATACACTCGACAAAAGCGATTTAGTACGTAGTTTTTAAAAATCACTTACATAATTCTACAACAAAGCTTTTGATTACTCATTGTCACAACACAAAAATATATATGTATTTCCAAATACATAAGTATTATGTTTGAAACCGCTACAATCCGGGAAAATACGAAACAAAAATTTACAGCTACCCTTTGTTGTGTCTGTCACATTTTAATCGTGTTTCAAAACTCATTGACTCGTCTTGCTGTTGATTATATTCTTTTGGGAAATATAAAAATAAATAAATAAAAGTGCAACATGAGACCAATAAAAAAGTAACATTTCCAGTTGTTATGGTATTAAATTTTTGGGTGTTTTTTCACGATTACCAGCTACATTTAGAACCAGCGGCTACGGCAAGTATATGACTGGATGCTAAAATTAAACGAATTGGGTTTTATCACTCCAGTCAACGATATTTTAGCCTTATTATTTTGTTGGTGTAAATTTCATGATGTAAATAAAAAATGAATATAGAAAGTCTACTAATTACTTGATTTCAAAAATTTCCGCCAGAAGACTTTCTGAAAAGTCAAATGACGCTATTTTCGAATAGTTTAAATCTTTATTTGGGAAAAAATGTGAAAGTTGTCACATATTATTAAACAAAATTTCAAACTACCCACAACAGTAAAAGCTGCCATTAATTATTCAGTACCTCAACTTCATGTCATCCAATTAAAACTTTCATTGAATACTAGTAATAGTTTAGCAAACATTATGCATAACAAATCATTTTATCTTAATTTCGTAAACGAACGGAACATATAAAAACCCGATACAAGAAAAAAATGCTTACTATGTATGAAAACAATTTTATCTCTTTTTACTTCTGAAGTTTTTGCTTTGGAAGTAAAAATGTACAAATCAAATTACTAACACGAAATTCATATTTTCGCAAAAGACGTATTTAAATACGAATATCTGTATTTCTTTTACATAAATTTCAAGTAATGAATTCCATTTCAGTAAACGTACATACAATTTTAAGTTTTAAAAGGGCGATTTCTAAGTTTCGTTCCACTTCGATTCGCTGTCGAATCAAATCTTTTAAATGTCAACAATGTCGCAACATATTTATGTGCATGGAAACTAAAAATGAAGAAAAACCAACTGTATTTCAAATGTGGTTCTCCTTATAGATGTTCCTGCGACCCAGTGTCACGAAATCCACTACGTCGGCGAAATGACTTATTCATAACTCAATTTTGCTTTGGCTAATTTCGTAATTTAGTTTCTACATTTGATTAACTACGTATAATGCGTTCGTCAGTACAGTATGAACAATGTACTTGTCCATTAACGAAATTTCACGACCTAAAATTTAAATATCTCGAGCCCCTGATTTGTAAAATTATAAATAACAAACCCTCGATGAAGCTGGGCGTAGCCTACGCCTGAACACGACCACGCTGTACTTTAACGAGAGATCTGTATGTGTATGATATGGTTATTTTACAAAAAATGTTGTTCTTTTTGTATAAAAACTTGTTTTGACAGCGTTCATAAGATTAGCTACTTGAAAAAATGATGAGAGCAGAGAGAAACCATCAACGAGTGAATGTATAAAGAACAACTTTTTCTTGAATATTACTCTAAAATTTATGCGTATAATTTTAAACATCTGAAATGAATCATATAGCATTAAGTCATATAAGAAAAAGTGTATTTTTCTAATAATAATTAATAATATCTTAAAAAATTATTTTTAGTGAAGACACTCTTTAATTTAATTTATTCATATTTTACACAAAATTTAAATAACCTTTAAAGTTGGAGGTAAAGTATATTTCGTTGCCTAACTTTCAAGTTATTAGTGGATTCAGTATAAACGTGCTCCAAAAAGTGACGTCATAGACGCACGATGACGTTCTCCCAGTAATCGTCCTATACGACTGGATCTTGTGTAAATTGACTGAAATAGTTCCACCATCCTTTTATCCATCTTGATTAAAAGACAAGTAAATAGCGGTATCAGTAAACCTTAATTTTTATATTAATTTATTATATTAAATAAATATTATATTTATGTTATTTATTAGAATGCTGTATGTTTGGGTATATGTATTATTGCTACATATTTTATCTAAATGACGAGAAATTTTGTTGCATTTGCCGCACATAAACATATAAATCAATTTAGTATGATTGTGAACTTGATGGGTAAGATTCTTTCATCAATATAAATTCGAAGCGAGATTGAAAGCAATTGCTCGTTTAAAAAATATTTTTTAAACTCATACTTGTGCTTTTTTATGCGAAAGGGCTGTTTTCAATCGCCATATTAAGTAACAAAATTGTCAACTATTTCAAAAGAAAACTAGAAGAAAACAAAACCAAAATTACTTTTTTCACTTTTAGCTAAATTGGTAATCAATGCCAAGTCATGTACCAAACGAAGTCGTTTATAAAGTTATAAATTGTCAATTTTTAAACGTTTCGTTAACCTACTAACCTACAAATCTCTGGGCAATTAAACTTACCTTAACAAGCTCCTTCAACCTCTCCCTGTTGTAGACGTTCCCGATCTCTTCCCCTAGTATACAATCCAAAATTTTCGATACTGGATACGCCAACGGGAAAGTCATTATCATCACACATTTAGTGATGTAAATAGTCTTTGCACCAACCGCTAATCCATGTCTCGAACAAATCGCTTGGGGTGTGATCTCACCGAATAAAACAATAGCGATTGTCGAAAAAACAACAGCCACCAAGCCCGAAGTGAGCCCGTCTAATAAAATCGTGAATATAGAATTGACGAACACGTTCCCTAACAAGATACTGCACAGCAGGTAATTGCCGTGATTTCGCACTGGCTGTATGGCTCTTGCGTATTTCTGTTCGTTCGGAGTGCCCGTGTTGCACAAAATTTTCAATTCGGTCCTATCTAGAGACATCAGACCCAGATTCAAGCCGGAGAATAACGCCGAGAAAAACAGACATGAACACACTATTAAAATGGTCACTGTCAAAGGCAGTAAAGTTTCGTAAGTCCGGATTTGGAGCCAAATGTCGTCGCCTTGGTGGACAAAAACGGTGGAGTTGGATTCTTTGGCGCACATGTATAGAACTTCGGAGGTGCCCATTGGTGGTAAATTTATCTTCACTCTTGCGGTTTCCGGGGAAAAACTACCATTAATTACCTGATTAAGAAAAATTAATTCACATGTTGAAGTAATAAACGCGGAAAGCGTGGGCAACGGTAAACTGCAACGTTTGTTAATTCTAACATAAGCATATGAATTGCAGCGCTTGATGTAAATTTTACAACGGCAAAATTCCTAATATTCGTTCTGAGTGTTTTTAGTTAAATAAGGAAGTGCACTAAATGATCTTGTTTTTTTTAAGCTTAATTATGCCTGAACAGGAATAATGGCATTCAATTCTTTTAACTTTATGTCTAAAAACAAAAGCTTTTGAGTACCACATTTTTTTGACTTTTATTGTGATCGAGTCCGTCGACCGACTCACTACTTTTAGGTTTTCTCCACTTTTCATGACCCCCAGAGTACGAAGAAATAGGTCTCCCGTTTCCGTCTGTCTGCCATCCCGGATTTTTATTAGACAGATAATCTCCGAAAGTACTGGGCCGAATTTCGTATTTATATTAGGAATATCATGCAGATGGTGAAACGCTAACCAAAATTTGTCTAGTTATCCCCACCAATAATGTGATGACGTCACTTGAAAATTAAAGGGTTTTAAATTGCAGGGCTTCCACACAGATTTTGTGTTAAAAAAAGTGAAAAAAGTGAGTTCGGCTGGGAAAATAGTAAAAAAAAGTGAGTATTCGAATTCAGCTAAAAATTTTACTCCTATTACCTATACATATAAAACAAACAAAACGTAAGTCATCTCACAAATACCACAAAAATAAAAAATATGAAGTTTTGATTATTTTATTATCAAAAAAAAAAAAACAAATTTACGCTCGAATTTCTTCCAAGAAGACGTTTTGATTTTTTTGTTAAAAAGGTTGGAAACAATTGTACTCTTTCTTTTTTCTGAAATTGAGATTTTTTTCACTTTCGCGTTCGTCCGCTCTAGGGACAAGGCTCCGTCAATAAGGGCCTGCACAATTCGTGTTTCCATGGTGTTATTTGCCAAGGCAGCTTCTAGTCTAATATTACCCTCCTTGTTCTTTTTTTATTTTTTCCTTTTAAGTTTTAATTTTTTGTTCCTGTACCATCGTTTCATCTATTTCTTGCAAAGTCTTTTTCGATTCTTTTGCAAGCGCCTGTTGTTCAGCAGCTAATTTTTTTCAGCTTTTTCTTTTCTTTTTGCTGGATCCCCGCTCCTTTTTTTTCAGTTTTTCCGCGTCCAAATAATCTTGATAATGCCTTCTAGCTTGACCTGCTAGAAGGAGGAGTTCGTTTGCTATAGAAACAGTCTCTGGTCTATTGTCGAAATACTTTAAAACATCTGCGATAGTTAGCCTCGCATTTAAAGTTCTCACCGACATATTGGTTTTTGCTTCAGTTAGTATTAATTTAGAACGCTAAATCCCCTTTCCACGGAAGCATTCCCATGACTTAAGCAACATGCTGCTAGAAAAATGCTTTTTACATTTTTTTATTTTTCGACGTTCTTCTCCACCCTTTCAAAAAATGTTACACAGTAATTGTCAATTCTATAGGTCTTTTCTAATGTTGGTAAGGTTTCAAATTTTAATAACCTGTACTCTTCTACAGCGTTACCTGGGATGCTATTATTTAATGTCTCACACAGTTTAGAAAAATATTCCAAAGCGTATTTTTTTTTATTACTTGGGGATTTAAAATACTTCAGGTTTTTATTCGTTAAAAGACAAAAAAAAATTAAATTTGTAAATCGAAAACCAAAAAGATTTTACAGAGAAAAAGTGAAAAAAGTGAGCGAATTGAAAAAATAGTAAAAAAAGTGAGCATTCTTGGAAAAAGTGAGAAATAGTGAAAAAAGTGAGTCTGTGGAAGCCCTGAAATTGTATGAAATAACATAGTCCTACAATTGTAGTTTATGACTCCGTATTGAGTTCTTATCCAACAAGTCACAATTTTTGGGGAAAAAAACAAAATTATAAAACAACATTTTGTAATTTAATTTTGAATCTGCAAAACCGAATGCTTTGAAATCTTGCAGATGTTTTAAAGTTATGAAGAACATAATAAATTTTTAGTTAAAATATATTTGCTCCAAAAAATTGATGACGTAAGCTCAAAATTTTGCTGAATAAATCCCATCTTAAATGTGCAAAGTATGATGAGTTTTTACTTGTGATTTATCATTGTATTAATATTTTTTAGTTTTGCGTAAACAGGTGGGTCAAAAAATTCAATGAATGAGTCAATTTATTTTATTGATTAAATAAGGAATGGCTCACTCCATTTTCTCAGAAAATTTTGGGAATTCAGTACTGTTGTTTTTAGTATTACACTGCACCAATCCAAGTTGATATACGTGTCCTTGTTTTTTCTTGCGTTGGTAATACGCAGTGACTACTTTTCTTTTGTGCTGTGACTAGTATTACCGATGTTGATGACGTCGTCGCAAATTTCTTATTGGTCAAATTAAGAACGAATCACCCCATTTTCTCGAAAATGTGAAAAATACGCACGTCTTTATATAATAATGATAAAATAAGAATTATAATATTCAGAACATTTTGCTCGATTGTGGTTTAATTAATAATTTTAGTCCTGTGTTTGACAAGACTAACTCATTCAAATCAAACTAATTTCTACGTGACATTCTTTCGAGGTATAAACATGATGAGCGTCAGATTGCTATTACCTAGTGTTGAAGGTCAAGGTTCTTAGAGATGGATCATTGTAAGTTCAACACGGTGAGTCATCAGAATCCGACAACGGACTGTCAGTCAGTAGCGTAACATGCACACTTCAGAAGGGGGTGGTTTTTAAAAAGTTAAAAAAATAAATATTTTTTTAAATCGCAAACAATAACACGCGGAAACATAAACTTAAGTGAATTGGTCAACATTAATCTAAACAGGTACCGGTACCCATCGTAGATAGAAAAGTTCGCTATGACAGAGAAACGATGATGAAAAACCTACTTTTTTCTCTTCGTAATTCTCGATCCAATTTCCTTTTTATTCGTTTTAAAGTACTATTCATATACGTTGAGACAAATCAACTCCCAATACCACCAAAGCATATACGGGGACAGCAATTCAAATCGTAGCAATTTTTTAACAAAATTACTACATTACCAAAAAAAAAGGAAAAAAGGGAAGAGTAAAAAATGAAGCTGTCATCATTTCCAATAAAACTTAAAAGATACTACCAATTTTATGATGTCCCTCAATAGACTTTCGTTTGAAGATTTTGCTATTGCTTCGCTGAGGAAAAACATTAAAAACAAACCTATAGTCCAACGTTAAAAAATAATAATCAACAATCAATTGTGGGTAGGCAGCGATTTTTTTACGGTTTAGTAGAAAGGTCAACCGTGAGTGTAAAACTGAGTTTTTGCGTTCATCATAACTTTGTGTTCGATAAAAAAATGTAAGAAGCATTTTTGTAAATAATACAATTATCTACAACTTTTAGCAATAACTAGTATTTATAATAAAAAAAGTATGATCAGAAAAATGAAAAAATTTTGGATGTGATAACTGTGCATTTTAAATTTTCAAAAAAAAAATGGTCTAAGGTTATTTAGACAGAACTTTCCTTGTCCCTGAAGTACAATCGAACAAATGCAGCGTCGAAACATTATAAAATTTAAATTTCCGATTTTTTCTTTCATAATAACCCCTATAAATCTAAATAATGTTGTGTGTGGACTGTAAGTGCAGGTAAAAAAGCATGTTATGTGTATGTTTCAAGTGAGTTTTCCATGTTAAGACGTCATCAACATTTTAGCCAAGATATTTATATCAATTTGAATATGTGCAGTGCAATCCTAATAACAGTACTATACTCACAAATTTTCGAAAAAATTGATCAATAAAAAAAAAAGTTGCAACCCGGCACTGATCTCCGGACCTCTCACCTGCGAAGCGAGCGCTCTACCGCTGAACCACAGCTGTTCTTATGGAGGTTCGTAGTATGTGCCTAAATAAAACAGTTTAAACAATAAAAAATAATAATAGAGAAAATCAAGGTAGATGCATAAACCGCAAGTACAGGAGTATATTATTTTATAAAATTTTATGGTCTTTATTAAAAAATATTCTGCCTGAACGTCTTCAAATTGTTGGTGAGGATAATCAGATAAATTTTGGTTAGTGTTTTACCATCTACACGATATTCGTAAAGTACATATGAAATCCAGCAGTATCGGAGATGATCTGTCCAATAAAAAATAGATGCAAACGACAGACAGATGGAAACGGGAGACTACTTTTTTGTACTCCAGAGGTCAAGAAACGTCGAGAAAACATGAAAGTAGCTAGTCGCCCGATGGACCCTTTACAAAACTTCCTTCGTTTACGCTCGAGAAATAAAAATTGATCTTTAACTATTTTTTTGTATGTGTGTATTTACTTTATTTTATGATTTGTCAACGTTTTTCTTTATTAAGTGTGTGCTTTGGAGAACTGTACTTGGAGAATGTGTTGCCTATGAAAACTGTGTGGTGGGAATGGTTAACACTTCTATAATAAAATTTTGAAATAAAACAACTCTAAAATTTATAAAAAGTGAAACTCTAAAGAAAATGTTGAAAATATGTTAATCTTATGAAAGAAAATACTATTAAAACTGTTGCTTCCTTTCTACAAAATCCAGATCTTCTACGTTTGGTAACTTAAAATTCTTTAAAAAAAAGTAGGAATTCCAAAATATTAAACTTAACTTTGTGAAGTTTTAAGCCTCTCCTCAATAAATTTTCGAAGTTAAAATTCTCAATGCAAGATTAAAACACAGTGAAAGAAAATCTGGAATTTCAAAGTTTATAAAACGTCTGAAAAACGTGGAACTAATATCAAGATTGCAATTTCTTTCGCCACAAAAAAAAAACCGGTGTCTTGTTTTTGATGTGTGTATTTTGTTCGCTCTTACGCCTATGAACTGGCTTACTTCTTGTCCTATTTCCATTTCCCATAAATCTTCCGTTGTCCTTGTTACATAACTCAATTTAATCAATTTACGGATTTACTTTTTTCTTAATATAAACATCGTTTCACCCTCAAAACTGATTTACAATATCTTAAAGCTATTAATAAGAGTTGTAGATAATTATATTATCTACAAAATATTCCTAACAATTTTTTTTCTCAGCACACAGTTCCTGATATAAATAAAAAATTATTGCAGTCTTATTTGGACAAATGACAACTACCCCCATCAGACCGGAATGCCCAGTTCTACACACACAATCCCTCTACCAAACCCCAAAAAATTATTTGTTGTTGTATTTCAACCCTTCACATATTACAGCCTTAAAATTGAATATATAAAAGACCTATTCGTTATCATTCTTGTCGCTGCAATTTACATATCCTAGAAGCATTTCTCCATGGCTGCAATTTACAACTACCGACAACGACTTACCGTGAATTCAAGACCGTTCTTCGGAAACTGACACGTCCTTTCCGAATTACTTTTCCTATCTGTGAAGGTAACCACCATGCTATCCACGAAATTTTTTCCGAAGATACGAATTATGTGGTCAACTCCTGCCAAAACTTCAGGCACTCCGTTTTCATCGAATTCCGCATCTTTTTCGTGGACTTCGAGACGTAGACCCATCACCTGTATAATATCATCTCCATTTTCTTGACGACGATTTCGTTCAACCCTAAAATGATAAAACTGGAGAAATATACTAATGCTAAAAGGCACATACACAATTTGTCACAACATAATAACAACCCCTTGAAGAAAAATTCTTCCACCATGTCCCTTGTCCCTTTGAAAAGCCTCTTTTTTAATGTTTGCGTCTAGTCCATATCAGTGATTACAAATATTGACGTCTAACAAAACTTCTGAATTTACTTAGGTGCAATTAAGTCCGTGGATCAATGTCTGGTGTAGCTTTCGTGTAAAGGGCAACGATAGCACCCGGAATATTTAAGTTCACGTCTTTTACATGAACAATTTGTCACACGCTACTCGACGCTACAGTGATGCAATGCATAGAATAATTGTTTTAGTGGTCATTGTTCACTGTATTGAAAACAATGTCAACAAACTCTAACTCTATCATATAGGGTGATTTTACAAAGCGATGAATAATAATTTATAGGATCGTCTCTTTATCAAACAGACTAAAAAACAAGCAACCAATCAAACGTTGCGATGGATATAATCAATGAATTTCAAACGAAGGGCTTTTAACAGATATTAATCTAATAAACTGAAAATCACTCGGTTGAATAGACGACGGAACCAACCCAAAGGTTGGAAAAGTTGACTAACAGATTTTAAGTTCGGAAAAATTTTACGAACGAATTCGTTTTAATGTGTACAATGTAACACTAATTGCAACTTATATGCTTCAAAAAATTCAGTTAAACTAGATAAGCCGTTTCCGAGATAGTTGCAAATACAAATCAGTTGATAGATTCACGCATTTGATGAGGCATTTAGCAGTTCTAAAAAAAAACAGAATCACAAGCAGTAGAGTTCAACAAGTTTATTTTATTTTTTAAAATTACATCCACAACTTTCTAGCCGTACTAAATAAAAGAAATTCTAAAAACTCTGTTATAACATACATTATAAAATTTGATTGCACCTTTTTTTGGAATAAGCCGTGTACATAGAATGATAATAATTGATAAAGAAGTGCGAATTATTTAAAAACGAGTAAGGGAGGTTGTCACATGCACATTTCATGTGAGATTTTAAGGTGAAGTGAATTATCTAGAAGATCAATGATATGCTTACGTAGCATTCTGATACACCTAAATTGAGTGCGACATTTTTTATATTTTATTCGTCGATATTCCCCTAGCTGTCGCTCTAAAAAAAAATGTCGCACTCAATTTAGGTGTATCCGCCCGCTACGTAAGCATATAAGCATATCTTCTAAATATCATCATATCAGATACTTTACTACAAGTATGTAAACTACTAGCAGCGTTACGTAAGTATAGTACGATCAAACTAAATTTACATAAAAGTATGATAAAACGAATTTCTTTTAGCTTCTAATTTGCAAATTAGAAAACGTGTGTTTTACTGGGCGCGAGAATTGGTGTGCTGAAACTTAATTTTGTTTTATCTTTTGAACTATCTATGTGGCTTTTGAACGGATAGCCGCACTCTCAGTCATTACTGATTCATTTATTTACTTAATTTTTATCTACAAAAATTTAAGTCAGGTTTTATGAAAAGTTAAGTTTTTCACGAAAAGATTACTTATTTACCCGCAGCTTTTAAAAATCTTTCAAGTGATACACACAATAAAATTCACAGTATGACCTTTACATTGATGTTAATAATCCTATTATATTCTCTCTTCACATAGTTTGGAATGCAATAACCGCCACTGCATTTAAATAATCGAATATATTAGTGACGTATTTTGATCTATCCAAATTGATGTAGCTTATAGAATCTAAAATATCGAGATTCACGCATTTTTTATGAAAAATGTGCGAAGTTAAATACTTTTAAAATAAATCAGAAAGATTTGCATTAAAATTAAAAACCTATAATTGACAGAAATCATTAAGCAACACGTTTTTGTAGAAAATCCTAGAATGTGAAAATTAGGTCCCCTTTTCCGTATGTCTGTTGGCGATTTTATTAAATGAGTAATGTCAGAAATTACTTGACAGACTGGTGTGAAATTTTTGATTTGTTTTATGCATATGGGGTAAACTGTAAAACACTAACCAAAATTGGTTGATCATCCCCTCCAAAAATTTTCTGACGTGATCTCAAAATTTTGCCAAATAAAACCACCGTAAAAAGTTCAATATATGTACGTGATTTATTAATCTATCCCTGATTTTAACGGTATGCATGCAGATTTTTGGAAAAAAAAATCGAAATTGTGCAAAAAAAAATTATAATTTAACTTAAAAACTATGAAGCGATTTTCTTAAAACTGTGCACGCACTTTAATGTTATCGTGAAGATGGTAAATCACTATTCAGAATTTATCTATTTATACTTTCCAAAAACTTGATAACGTCATCTCAAAATTTATGGATGTCAATCTTGCTTGAAATTTATAAAGTCGTTTATTTCTCATTTAGTAATGCATGTATATCACAGTAAAAATTCAGTAAATAAATATTGTATGTTAAAAATGAAATGCAACGTTATTTACACGTTTTTTGTTTAAGTTACTCAATTGATTTTGTATAAATAAAAAATGGTTATCCAATTTTTTTTTAAGTTCCACGGACATAACATCATTCTTTATTTTATTTCATAAGTATTGTCACAGAAAAAATATTCCAAAATAACCTTGTATAATTTTTATAATAGTTTTACACCACATTTTTATTTTACTAAAGTTATATAATAACATAATGAAAGAAAGTAAACAGAATTCAGGATCATTTTTGGAAATACTTTTATTTCATGTGTTTCATGCCGTTTCGTAGTACGTAACATACGCAAAGAACAGTTCTTTAGAAAATAAAGCAAATCAATATTTTACAAAAGTTTCACAGTATTCGTTATGTGGCCGAGATAAATTTCATTTTTTTTTTTTTAAACGAAGTTAAAAGGGGCTGAATTTTTAAACCATACGTAGAAAACCACAGTGTAGTGTACATTCCGCTGACATTTATTTAAAATTTTATTTTACTGTAATAATTTCGGGGTCAAGACGGCACATAACCGAAACTTATATTTTTGTATTCTATAAGTCATAAAACGTCAGAAAAACGAAATCATCGTATTTGTAAGGAGTATCCACTCCGGTAAATTTTTTTTTCAACATCGGAACCCCACTATTGAAAAACAATTTCAAATACCCGCGATGCGCCAGTTAGTTCATTAATGCGTACAATAAAATATCCGGTTTTATTATGATCTTTTCTAAAATGACTCACACCAAGTAAATAGTAAGGATTCTGAGAAGTCCCTCAAATTTGTGACTAAATAATGACGTGATTTTAAGCTCCCTTCCTGTAACCTCCACTTATGTCTTGGAAAATCAGTTGTCAAAACCTTAGAGTAAATCACGGCTAACCGACCTTTGGATAATCCGGCTTAAACCAGAACTTGAACGCATTCCTACATATGCGGAGTGCGGATATCTATGCTATGCGGCTTCCTTTGAGGCACATGAGGGGCACTAAATCCGTGCCAAAATTTTGATATCAATTACTAACTCATTTTTATCCCGTAAGAACCGGAAATTTTGGTAACATCTGCTTATAACGCCGCTCATGGTTATCAACATTTTCTAATAAAATTTTGCATTTGAATAAAAGTAAAACAGTTATGGTCGAGTGCAACGAAATTCCAAAAAAATCCAAAAAATACTAACGGCTGTCGCATTGCAACAAATCGTTAAAGACAATGCCAAAAACGGTATGACTTACCAGGTGTGTTCATCGTGGGGTATCTTGATGACAACCTCTGGTCCTTGGTGATACCACTTGTAAAGCCCCCCTCGGAGCATACTAGGTGGAAGCTTATGCACATTTTCTTTAAATTCACGATTTTCATGCGGTAAACAAAAGTAGAGATTACCGGCCACAACTCGTGGTACCGATATTTCGTATACTGCAGAATCCCATTTCGACGAAACCTCGCGTACCGGGTAACTTAACTCCCCTTCGCACAAACTATTTTTCTTCGCTTCATTTCTTGTAGCTTTAATGTGTAAACCCTCAACAATGTTCTTACCGCGCACTTCAAACCACACTTTCGTCAAGTTCTCATTTTTTGTAAAATTTATGTGTTGCAATGAGTAGAACTCGGGCGCGAATTTCTCTTGGCCTTCAACAAATTTGGCGCTTATATATATACTTAAATAAAATACAATAACTGCCTTTAAACAACATGGCACTCTCGCCATGTTATTCGCAACACGACTGAAAATAATAAACACAAAACTTTCCTTATAACCTCATCATTAACGTCACTTGTCAAAACTGCATAATCAATAATAAAAACAAAATCCCTATGAAATATGAACACTGGGGAGGGCAAATGGTGTAAATATGTCACAAGATGACTGGGCTACTTTGGGGCGCGATGTAATCATTGTCGGGGAAAAACAAAGTTGGAAATTCTGTGATGTTGATTGTCGGCAGTTTGTTAGAATGACAAAGTCAGCAAACTTGGCAAAATGACTTGTTTGTAAATTGACCCGAGATTAAAACGAAAACCTATTAATTATATTGATGAAATATAAATAAATATGATTTAAACAGTAATTACCCAACCCACATAAAAAGTTGTCAATTTACAATCTCTTAAGGGTACTTGTTTTTCTGTGAATCATCAATGATGACAAACATGCATTGTTATTGCTTCATTTGGAACGAGACCTTTCTGTAATAAATAAAAATTGTTAACAATAAATATTCCAAGTATGTGCTGTATATAAATCAGTTTACGGATTACGTGATCATGCAGAAGCATAAACTCACGACTTTGTAGTATAATTGGTTGCAGTATATATTTCTGTTATCTCCAAAAAATCTTAAAGGTTAACACTCATATCACAGTATCACACATATAGTTATTAACAGCACGATTGTAATAGTCACATCACATAGTATTTGTCATATCAAAGATGTTGAAAACTTTGAACTTAACTCTTTTGCTTAGAAAAATGGCGGTAGTTAATAAAAGTAAAACTTTCTCCAGTGTTGTTCAGGTAATTGTTTATCCCAGTTTGTTTATTTTGCACTTTTTCCACAAACAAATTGTAGGAACAAATAGTCAAAGTAGAGGGGCAAACCATCAATTATGTAAAAACAGGTCAAGGTAACAAAACCATTTTGTGTTTTCCAGGAGCCTTAGGTACTATTTGGAGTGATTTTAAGCCACAAATAACAAACCTAGATAAGGATAAATTTACAATAGTGGCATGGGATCCTCCAGGATATGGCCACAGTCGTCCTCCTGAAAGAATTTTTAACCTAAAATTTTATGAAAATGATGCAGATACTGCTGTTAACTTCATGCAGGTGTGTGGATAATACACATGTAATTGCCGCTTCAACATCTGTAACTTTTAGCAACTTGGAATTAATAAATTTTCATTATTAGGATGGAGTGATGGTGGAATATCTAGTATGATTATTTCAGCAAAATACCCAAATGCTGTAGACAAGCTTGTAATATGGGGTGCAAATTCTTACATCATTCCTGAAGAAGTCAAATCTTATGAAAGTAATTGTTCTATATAAACTAAAACACTTCTTCAGTTTTTTGTTTAAGAAATACGTGATATTAGCCACTGGTCAGATAAAATGAAAGCTCCACTAATCAAGTTATATACTGAGGAAGGTTTACAAAAAATGTGGAATGATTGGTGTGACGCCGTCAGCGAAATGTACAGAAAAAACAACGGCAACATTTGTGCAGAAGTGCTAGGTAATATCACATGTCCAACTTTAATTTTACATGGGAATAAAGATCCAATGGTAGCTGCAGAACATCCAGGCCACTTAGCATCAAACATCAAAGGGGCCAGGTAAAACACTTACACTTTATGTAATACAGGTCAATTTAAATTGTACCACGAGACTCTGAATAGTGCTTAGATTATCAAACACAAATTCTAATTTCAGATTACACAGATTTCCTGAAGGCAAACATAACATTCACCTCAGGTTTGCAGACGAATTTAACAAAATTGTGTCTGATTTTTTACTAAAGTAATACAAAACACTGAATATGTACTAGAACCTTAAAAATAAAAGCTAGTAGGTGAGATTTTTATTTTTTTCGTGTAAATTACGTTACTGTGTTACAAGGGAAATACAAAAATAATACCACAATACTGCAAACTAATCATACAACTCTCCACTCTCCATAGCCTGTTTGTAGCTCTTATCTCCCCTCTGTTCAGGATCCAATTTAATCATATCATCAATTCTCAAAATAGTAATCGCGGCTTCAGTTGCAAATTTAAGAGATTTAATTTTCGACACCGTCGGCTCGAGAACACCTGCTTTTTTATTATCCCTAACAACCCCTTCCAGTAAATCAAGACCAACCCACTTCAAATTCGCGAGATCCGCTTTAGTTTGACTTGTATTCTGATAGGCTCTTAATTTGGCGACAAGATCTGTCGCATCTTGAGCCGCATTAACAGCCAACGTTTTTGGAATAACCAATAAACTTTTCGCAAATTCGGCTATAGCTAATTGTTCGCGCGAACTCAATGTGGTGGCGAAATTCTCCAAATAAATAGATAAGGCAGCTTCGACGGAACCTCCACCAGCAACAACGCTTTTTGATTCGAGAACTCTCTTAACAGCACAGAGAGCGTCATGTACAGATCTTTCCATTTCGTCGCAATAAAAATCGTTGGGTCCACGCAAGATTATCGAAGCGGCAGTTCTAGCCTTGGGACTGAGAAAAATTATTTTTAACATTTTAATTTCATTCAAATAATGTAAACTTTACCCCTTAATCAAGATCAGTTCATCATCTGAAATTCTTTCCTGAACTACTTCTGCTGCTTCTCCCACCATGCTAGAATCAAAACATTCTTCACCTGGAAATTATGATTAATACTGAGTTGCAACCAAGTTATAAATCTAACCATCCATATTTGTCAATGATGTTAAAAAGGCAGCTCCTGTTGCCTTCGCGATGCGTTTTAAATCCGCTTTTTTCACTCGTCGAACGCCCATGGCACCGCTTTCAACGAAATATTTTAAACATAAATCATCTATTCCTCCACTAACCAAAACAACGTTGACGCCCGCTGCCAATATTTTCTGGATTCTTTCTTTTGTGATGTCAAGTTCTCGCGCACGAATAGCTTCCAGTTTTTCAGGATCATTGATCAAAACCTTTTAATAATGTTAGTTTTTGGTTATAAGTGATTTTGTTATCTCACCTGAACGCCCATCTTCATTTTTGCCTTTTGCAAAGAGAAGTCCAAACATGCAATTTTAGCATGAACGATCTTTTTAGGCATAGCCTGGCTGGCTACAGTGCAGTTGAGAGCATAGCCTTGGATCAGCATACTTTCCCTAGCGCTGCGTCCATGGGCTTTTAAAATGTTTACAGCCTTAATTGGATACAGGGGGTTTTTGCTGGAATCTAATACTTTGATGGCGTTAGCGGCGTCAACAACCATTGCCGCAAATAAATCAGCGTCACTGCATGTGTGTTAAGAAAGTTATTACTAAAAGTTTTTTAATAAAAAAATACATCAAAGGATACGCTCCTATAATTTTGGAACTCATTGATGTTTTTGCAACATTTACTACACAAGCTTTTGTGAGTTCTTCAACTGGGATTGTTAAATTATCCTGAATGTACCGGCACGCTTCCTTGCAAGCTAGGCGATAACCACTAATAATTGATGTAGGGTGAATCTTTTGTTTAACTAGTTCGTCAGCGTTCTACGGAAATTTGTTAGTTCGATTTTGTTTGCTACTAAATACTTGGTGGTTAGTTTACCTTTAGCAGCTCAGCTGCAATAATAACAACTGATGTCGTTCCGTCTCCTACTTCTTCGTCTTGCAGTTGAGCTAACTCAACTAGAACCTTAGCGGCCGGATGTTCCACTTCTAACAAACGCAGAATTGTTGCTCCGTCATTTGTTACTGTAACATCTCCGATGTCGTCTACAAGCATCTTATCCAATCCCACTGGACCAAGGGAACTCTTTACTATGTTAGCTATAGAAGCTGCAGCCATAACTAAGAAATAAAGAATAATAAGCGATTTTCTATTAGTCACTGGGCACATGATAGCAATCACACGACTCTCAAAAAGTACCAGTTTCCAAGTGGTGAAAATATAATAATCTTACCATTTTGAGTACGCACGGGGGCTCCAGACGTTCTGGTGCCCGCAACAGACAAAGGACTTGCGAAAATCGACATTTTTATAACATGTGAACACAGAAACCACACCGGATCGGAATTCAGGAGATTTTGACAGACGACAGCAGTCAGGGAGCCAGTCGATTAGTTGCAAAAATATACTACCTTACATTACCCGCGTATTTCAAAATTTATTAAAATTGCGGAATTCACTTTGAATTACTAGTCTCTACATGTTTTTTTTTGTATTATACTTTAATACATATATGTTAGGTATATAATTTTTATACTAATCCTAAAAATACTTTTTAAACTGAAAATATTTACGATTTAATTTACTAGTGATTTGTGACTTTTCTTTCCAAGATTGCATGTCGAGTTTAAAAGTTATTATTAACGCAGAAAGACGAGGATTCCATAATCTCGCGATATTAAAATTAGTGTTACGAAATAAATCCTTCGCTTCCCCGGTACGACGCATGTGGGTTTTCTAGTATGCACGGTGATGATGGGTGGCTCATCGTCGGTGACGGAGGCCGGACGGCATTCGCTAAAGAAAAGTCTGGAAGCGGAAGTCACGATGGATGCTCCAGAATAAACCTAGAAGCGGTGACGGCGACAGTTCGCGAAGGACCAAGTGACTCTTTAAATGGGAACCACCGTCGGGAGCAGTCAGTGAAGTCCAGAATATGGAAGAAGCAGAGTCTAGTCAAATCCATTACAGTCGGAATAATTATTCTGTACTGGGAAATAAATTATTGAGTTTTACCCACGACACTTTTAAACACCGATCATCATAGCACTGGTGTCGAAAGTTAGATTTGAAATTAATAAGTGGTTTTACGACGAATTACGGGCAGATGGACGTGAAAAATAAAGAAATGGAAGAAGAAATGAGTACAAGAATGGAAAAAATGGACGCAAGAAACAAAAAAATGGACTCAAGGAACAAGAAAATGGACGAGAAAATAGGTGCAAGAATGAAAAAAATGGACGCAAGAGATGAGAAACTAAATAATGCAACAATAGAAGAAATTAACGAAAAAATGGAAATGATGGACGGAAAATAGACAAGCAAAAAAATTATATAATCACCAGCATAACTGAAAAATTCCAAATGGAAGTGGAAGTAAACAAAAATGAAATATAACAGAAATTAAAGAACAAATGAAGGACAAAAAAACAAATTTGAAGGTTATGCAAAATCTTGTCGGAAAAATGTGGTTTTGATGAATCGAAAAGTATTGTTACGTTGTTCAGTGAATAAATTCGGCGTGGATACAATCAACAATTTATTTCTTAATAACTCGAATCACATGACTATTACAGCGATTATGTACAAAATAACTTCGTGGTGTAACTTGGATGAATTCGCTCACTCGCTGTACTCGACTTCTTGACTAAATAATAATGGCTCCCGACGGTGGCGTCTATTTAAAGCCAGACTCTCCTTCTCGAAGTTTCGTGATCCAGGTCTTTCTGGAATCCATCGCCACTTCCGACTCCAGACCTTTCTCTAGCGAGCGCCGTCAAGGCGCCGTCCGCTGTCATCGATGAGTCATACCACACTAGAAGAAACGCATACGTACTAGAAGACCCATAGGCGTCGTACCGGGGCGGCGTATGGGTTTATTTCGTAACAGTATTTAAAAGAGCAAGTCGAACATCAGCTAAAGAGTGAGTTCGATAAATCAGTGCCAGAAGATCGAATGAAAAGTATGGAAGATAGAATAGAGAACAAAATGAAGAAATTCGAAAAGTTAATGAAAAATGCAGCAACAACTAGCTCATGTAATATGATGTCGGTCCACAGAACAATTCAGCCACCTTATGATGGTCAGACGCCTTGGTCATCATACAAGAAGCAGTTCGAAGCACCAGCGACAGCAAATTTTTGGGAAGAAGAACAGAAAGATACAGCCTTGGTGATATCTCTGCGAGGTGTAGCGCTACAGATACTTCAAACCTTATCTGACGAAGATATAAGCAAATTTAATAGTGCCTTAACTACTGCTCTAGAACTGCGATTTCGGGATGAACATCTACAGGAAGTTTTTGGCACCCGATTAAAGGTTAGAACACAGAAAGTCGGAGAATCTAGCATACTCCGAAGCACCACCGACTATTCAAGAAAAGCTTGCGACAAAAAACTTCGTAAATAGCATTCGGGACCTTGAAGTTAAGAAGATCTATCAAGGTATCGGACATCATCTGATGCCTTGATTCGTGCGCTGGAAGTGGAAGCGGCGTACAGTTCCTCAAGAACGTGTTACAAAGTCAATGTAGCAGAAACAGAGAAAGAAGAAGAAAACAACAAGATAGAGAAGCTGCTAGAGAAATTGTTACAGCAAATAGATGGCCTCTTTCGAAGACGGGAGAATGATGTGTCTCGTAAACAAAGCGTGGAATACTATAGGTGTGGGCGCCAAAGACACCTCAAACGTGATTGTCGTGCTCGATCACCCGTTCCAGGAAGAAGCACACAACAGAGACCTTACCGATATCTAAAAGGAGCCAGTACTCTGGGGAATGGGTTCACTGATGATGAAAATAAAGCCACCAGCGAAGTGAAAATAAGAAGTTTCACCAGAGGTCGTGGTTCAACGATATCGGGAAAGATCTATGAAAATCTAGCAGCAATCACCATCAATACTGGCGCTGAGGTATCAATTGTACGCAAAGGACTCGTGAGAGCTGAAGATGTAGAACCTACACCCGAAACGATCAGATTGAAAACTGCGACTGGAGAGTCGACGCCGATCATAGGCGAAGCATTGGTGTAGAGATCTATATTGGTCAGCTGAGAATAAGACATCGGGCTTTTGTGGCTAGCATGGAAGAAGACTTCATTTTGGGAATGGATTTGATTAGCCACCATAGATTGATAATTAATCGAGAGAGGGATGTCCTCTGTCTTGGAAATGAAGAGTTCAAGCTGCATCATCGTTGTATTGAAGCAAAGCCTGCAAGATTGATCGTTTATCAGAACTGCAAACACTGCGACGAGGTTGACTAGCCCAAAGCACGGTTCAACTACAGGAAGAAAGCAGTCGTGGAAGATGATAAATGGACTACAGCTCGGTGTAGAAAGGGCCAGGAGGAAGACAAGGATATTGGGTCGCTCCTTAGATGGGATAGAACGACCTGGCTGGTCGGAAATATCAGACAAGTCACCTTTTTTCAAGGCGTTATGGGCTCAATGGGACTCCTTGCGTGTCGAGAACGGATTGCTTAAGCGAGCCTGTAAAAGTTCGGATGAAAGGCATGTCACTATGCAGTTGGTGGTTCCGGCCATTAGAACCAAGGAAGGTCTTCAAGAAATGCACAACGGAGGTTCTGGTGCTCGTTCTGGAATAATAAACAAGACGCTTTCCAAAGTTAGGGGGAGATTCTACTGGATCCGTTGCCGGGAAGACGTCGAGACCAGGTGCAAGAAGTGTAAGACCTGTGCGGCGGTTAAAAGACCTAAGAATAAGGCGAGGAGATATAGTGGGTCCCGTCCCAGTGACCGAAGAAAGGAACAAGCACCTACAGGAAAAATGTCAAAGGCTGCCACGATGGCTTACAGGAGAAGCTGCCCAGCGTTCACGAAATGCTGCACCACAAGAATAAACTGACGAGTGATAGGATGAAGATACGTTACGATCTTTGGGACACCTCAGTAGGGTTCCAGGTAGAATATTTGGTATGACTTTGTAACCCTCGAAAAAGAAATGGTCACCAGGTTGGGAGGGCCCATATCCTGTGTAACGAAGCGAATTTTCGCTGGCCGGAAACCGTGACGCGTGTGGGTGTTTTTAGTAAGCTTGCCAAGGTGCAGTTCGTTCGTTGTCTGTGGAGAAGCCCTGAAATCACCGTAAGTACCGCCTTGGAGTGTTTACCTGTCGGCGTACCGCTTTTTGAATCGCCGCCTCCGATCGAGAAACCGTACCACCGTCACCGGTTTTTTTTTCTGTCGTCACCGTTACAAGTCGAAACCGTCGTGTACCGCAATCGCGCTCCCCTCCCGGGTCGCCGTACTGTCCTCGCGCGATTTGCAGGATTCAAGGTTGCCGCCCCCAGGCCCAGGAGGAGTCCGTTTTGAAGGAAGCCGTCGTCCAGGAGGGAACGACCGTGCCGGACGTGTTATTATTTTTCTTGTTTTGTTTTGCACTGTAGTTAATTAAAACTTAGCCGTAAGATTTATTATTTTAGCCGTGTAGCTGGTGGCAGGGAATGAACCCGATTTATTGTTCAAAATCTGTATTTTCAGCCGTTTTATTTTATTATCTTGTTTTCGCGGGCGCTCACCACCTGAAATCCGTGTCTCCTGACCGAAGGTGCCACCCCCGGCGGCATGAAGGTCGCCGCATAAGCCTAGGTCGACCAGACGTGTTTGTTTATATCAGCGGCACTAGTCGGCCCAAGGCCGCCACCACACGTTATCGGCGAGATTCCGGACCGTCCCCGTTCCACCGAAATTTCGTCGCACCTGTCGTGAAGAGGACCAATGATGTCGTTCACAAGATTCGACAAGGGCCGAAGACGAAAATGAAGACTGTTCAGTTAGGCCGCCTCATGAACTACGACAGTGACACCATTGATATTGTTACGGTTTTCCGGTGAATAAAATCGGCGGAGGTAAACCTCAACAATTTATTTCCCTACTAACTTGAATATACACGACTAACTATTACAACGATTATGTACAAACTATTTCTGGCGCAACTTGGCTAGCTCTTCTTAACATTCGCTGTACTCGTGGTTCGACTGAATGATGCCTGTTCCCGACGGTAGCCTCTATTTAAACCTACGCGTGTCTCTCGATGGATTCAGAACGCCGCTTCGAGAGTTTTCTGGGCCCGCAATCGAGACTTCCGGAAAGCCGCTCCACACTTGCCTTTGTGGAATGCCGCGTCGACACCGTCAGCAATGATGACTCACCTATCAACGCGGTGCGTACGACCAGAAAGCTCTCGACGGCCATAGGCGTCGTAAGGGTGTATTTCGTAACAATATGTATGATCGGGACGATCAGAACTAATTAGGAGACAGTGTTACGAAATAAACCCATACGCCGCCCTGGTACGACGCCTATGGGTTTTCTAGTACGGTAGTACGTATGGCGTTCGCTAAAGAAAAGCCTGGAAGCGGAAGTCGCGATGGGTGCTTCAGAATAAGCCTAGAAGCGGTGACGGCGACTGTTCGAGAACCACGTTAAATGAGAACCACCGTCGGGAGCAGTCAGTGAAGTCCAGACAATAGGAGAAGTAGAGTCTAGTCAAATCCATTCCAGTCGGAATAATTATTCTGTACACAATCGCTGTATAGTTAGTCGTGTAAATCTGAGTAACTGAGAAATAAATTGTTGAGTTTTATCGACGACGCTTTTAAACACCGATCACCGTAGCATTATTCCTTAAAAGTGCAGAACAACTGAAAAGTTGTTGACTGATGGTAGTTAAATTCTTACTCCGTTCTTGTGAACAGAAAAACATCGGTATAATAACAATATTAAACATTACTTTATTTAATAAATTTGACCTTATACAGAATTTCTAAACCTAAAAGCTATCAATTTACAAAAAGAGAGAGAAATAACTAAAAGTAAGCAATACAAATTCAATTGTATTACTTCGTGAAAATTTATATTCTATATAGTAAATAAATAACATTTTTGTATACAAACTGATTTTCACCTTAAACAATTCATGAGTTAGGGGATGCAAGTATCTTACTTGTTAAAAATATAAACATTTGGAGGACATAATAAAATTACATTATGTACATATTTCCATAAAAAATACAATTATTCTATCATGTCCTCAAATTAACCATACATTAATAAACTATCGTCAAACATAGATGGACAATGTACATATTAACTGATCTTAAACACGCATAATATTTAAATGTAGATTTAATATCACAGTCTACATAATTCTAAAATTCACTGAACAAAAAAAATCTGGTCACATTTTAAACAAGTAAGATTAACATAAAAGACTAGAATTTGTTTCTTTTATGGAAACTTTCAGTGAAACATAAAACAAACAAATTGTACACTTGTAAAAATAAAACGCGTTTGTAGAAATCGTAAATTCAATAAAGAAATACTTTGGTGTAAAAAGCTTTCAAATTTGTTCCCTCATTGTGTTGCCACACAAAAAATATAAAGAAACACGAAATAAATTCTTTTGATATTGTGTCAAAACAGTATTTACAAGACCGGGTTGTCAAACTTAGGTCCTCTTAAAACAAATATTTCGTCATATGAATCTGCTTGCTCCAGTTCCAGCACTTGGAATTTCTTCAGAACCAACAAACTGTAGAACTTCTGTGCAGCCTAAACAATAACATTTCATTGAAACGTATGAAAAAATAAATGCATTACTCACTTGTTTTTTATTATTCTTGTAACACATTTCTGTCAAGGTAATTTGATTGGTGGTTGCAAGTTTTGATCTAACTACTGTGAACATCTGATAAGCCCTCTTGTTTAATACTCGTTCCTCAAACTGCTCATCAGTCTCATCTTGCTGTTGTTCCTCTGCCTGTAACGAAAATAACCGTTAACACCCCATTTTTAGATTAAACAAATCTAAATACTTACTGGACCAGCAGAAGGAGGGAAATCATAATCACCCTGCCAAGGTGAATGGACTCTTTCAGACATCCCTCCTGCTGGAGTTTGTGCTGGCAAATGTTCATCGTAACCCATATTAGCCATCTGCATTTGATTATTTTGATCGTATCCCATATTCTCCATAGCAGGTAAATGATGCTGTAAACTATCCAGTTGCTCCAGCGGTAAATTCGTATCCAACTGTCCATGATGAGGCGTGGGTGCTCCAATAGCATGCGTTAAAATGTCTTCTGATGCCGGCGTCATTGGCGGTACTAACCCACCCATAGACTCTTGCTCTTGCAAGATAGAATGAACCTAAATGGCAGATATTAGATAAATTATCAACAACAAAAAACGGTTAACCTGATCCGGAGGCAAATGAGGCATTTCTTCCATGTGGTGTAGCGGCGTCGGCGGCGCAGGCGTACTCGGAAAACCTAACGCTGGTGCCGGAGTCGTTGGGTAACCTAACTGAACAGAACCTGGTGTTTGAGGAGGGTACATAACACTGGCAGGAGTGGCGGGAGGAGGCATGCTGACATGCTGTGGCGGTTCTTCGTGGCTCATCATCATTTGCGGAGGCGGCACTTGTTGCTGGGGTAACGGCGAAGGGGCGGGAGGAGGCAATTGTTGGGACATCAAAGAACCTAAACTTTCTTCCTGTGGAATCGGCAGACTCGAGGGTGGTTCTTCTAATGAATGCATCGGCGTTCGACTCTGATATTACAACAGTCACATATATAAATTTCAAGTAATCCTTCAAACTTACAGGATCTTCTTGGATTTTACGTTTTCGGCCCCGTTTCGCTGGGGTTGGAATTTCTACCAAAGATTCTTCAACGTCTCTCACTTGATCCAAAGCTAACGCGTCAGGATCACCCAACATCGCGAAATCTTCTGTGCCGATTGCTCGCAGTGTTAGATGACGTTGGTAATTCTGTTTTAAATACTGCTGTAAGATTTAGGTGTGTATCATAAACAATGATCACCTTGAATAATGTCCTAGCTGGAATAGGCCTGGCAGGGAGAGCAAACAATTTTTCAACACCCCCAGTTTCTTTCCAATGCATGAGACGTTTAGTAGGAGGAGCTAGATCTAGGGTAGTTACAATATCACTAGTGTCAGAAAGCTGATTCTTCATTTCTTCGCCAGATATGTTCTTGACTTCATCAACTATTAATTTTCTTTTGCGTTTTGTTTTCGTAAAACCTGAAATATATATATTTTACATTTTTTATTAACGCACTTACACTAGCAACTATGATAAGTTTTTTTTTAACTGACTGCAATGCTATATAATCTAGTTCGCTTTCAGATTGAAAATATAACATGTTTTTTCGAGCATTTTTTTTAAAGAGAGAAAAAAGTTTTAATTGTTAAATGGCGGACGCTAAATCAATTTTTACAATTCTATTTGCATTCATTAAAAAAAAACTCTGAAAAATACCTTTGAGCGCAGATGCATCCACAGGTGCCAATGCAAAACTTTCTTCCTCATTTTGTACCAAAGTCGTTTGTTCCAAAGGTGTACTAACTGCTTCTTCAGGTGGTTCTACAAGCTGTTCCTGATGTTGTAATGGTGCAGTCTGAGCTGGCGACGGCATAGTAGGTGGTCCTCCTATTGCAGAAGCTGGTCTTGAGTCATCCGAACTAAAACACAAATGTAGGCAACAGTACAACATAATTGTCATTGTACCTTGGTCCACCAACAGACGGTGGTCCTCCAAAGTGATCCATATCATCATCATCACTGTCAGGTGGTGGCGGCAAATTTTGTGACTCTTGTATTGTATGATCGACTGGATGAACATCCCCCATTGGTGCATCATCAAACAAACCACCTTCAAATAAACCACCAGCTAAAAGAAAAACATTAAAACTATAAAGTCATAACCACCGTAACCTTACAGATAATATTTTGATCTAAATTTGTACCAAATCCATCATCCCTGACGGCTGAATCAATTTCCATGGGTGTAGCGTGTTGAGTGCCTGATGTAGATGGGACAGGCTCCCGTTCTTTGTCTAAACCAACTCCATCCAACACAGCTCCATCACTGAACAGAAGATTGCTCTAAAACAAAAAAATCGGTTTACGAAGCAAGTGAATTCCTACACTCACTTGTTCCATAGATGGTTCTAAACCTGAAGCATGTCTCATTAAATCAGGTGCATCTGTATCAAATCCCATGTCTCCAAACCCATCATCGTTTGTCACTAAAGAAATATTTCCGTAATCCTCTCTCATTGTAATTTCTTCAGCACGAGACTGGTTTAAACTAAACTGAGCCTCTATATCTACATCACTACAAACAAAAGACTCAATAACCTAACCTCTCCCACAGAATAACCTACTTTAATTCGGGCATTGTTGTATCAAAGTCGTGAAAGACTTCTGGCAGCGTGATCGCATTCACAGCTGCTTCTCTGTGCTCTTCAGGCAAATCGACCATTCCTGGTCGGAATGCCATTTTAATCTTGACAAAAGCCTCATTGCAATCGGCCAAAAGATACTTCGCTTTCCGAGAGTAAATTCTGACCACGCCAAGCAACAAGTGGCCTGAAGTTCTTAGAGCCATTTTCACTTTCGGCTGTAGAATGCCATCAACGGACTTTTCAATGTTTGTTTCAAAGACGTGAGCTTTTGTTAATTTCTTGTCCCAGTGAGCAGCGAGCCATATTCGGGCCAAAGGGCCCTTTTTGGCCAAAACGAAGTGAGCATAAAACATTATTCCGGTTTCGACTCACAATACCGTAAACAGTTCCTGAAATTTCAATTGTTATTTACATTTCAATACGGTACTGCACACAAGCGCGTTGGCGCCGAAATGGTTATTTCTCGGAAATTTGTGGAATGAGGATATTACCTGCACGACCTCAATGAAATTAAGTAATTATAGGCAATAATAAGTAGATTTCGTCGGGAACTGTGGAGATTATTTCCATAACAAACCAAAATTTCACGATTTGGAACGTAAACAGAAGCTCAAGCACTACTGTTATTCTTCCATCAAGATGGCGACTGAAGCCTTTCGCCTTTTGACATTTCTAGGCATGCGCTATGAAAAATGCGCCAAAATCAAAATTTTACAATTCCCGCCAGACAACTTTTGGTAATAGTCCACATACATCCTTCTTCAGATAAATACATTACATTTGTAGCGAACACTCAAAATGTCGTTCACAATAAGTCATAAAATTTTAGTTTTAAGTGTCAGTTTGTTTAAGTCGTCATGAACATTTTACCTTTTTTTTGCATCTGGATGAACCTATTTCTTTCTGTAAATCTTCAAGTTTACGAGTGTCCTAATTATGAACTTTTGAAACAACCACGACTTAGGCGCACTGAAAAATCAGCACATAAAATACCCCTGACTTGTAATTTTGCAATGATCAACCCTAAAAAAGTTATAAATCCTTATAGAAATGAAGTACAAAACTATGTACCATCTAAACCCTTTGGATCTGTATGTGTTATGTGTAGCATGTGCTTGGCTGTTGCCAGAGAAGTAAGCCCAATTAACAATTAAAAATAATATTAATTCATTGTTATTCAGATGGATAAACTATTCGTAAAAATCGTCAAAAGCAACATGAAAAATAAACAAACAGCAGTGGTAGACCTGATAACGGAAAACATTAAACATATGTGCTATGAAGGCTTTGAAAAGTATATTTCCAAAATACTTAAAACTTTATTTACATTATTTTTTAGTTATGATTTAAGAAAATCTAAACAACTTCAAGAAGTTACCAATGATTTCAAATGTAGCACACACGTGAGGACGAAAATGGATGGACGATGGACAGAAAAGTAAGTAATTGAGCCGTTACTAAATAATGCTATACGTGTGTACAGATTACGAGAAATGTGTGCAACATATCTAAATTATATGGACGTTCAGTATTTGTTAAATACGTACTTAAATGGAACTCAGGATTTACAAAATTACTTGTGCAAGTATGTATTGTGAATGTTCTTTTTTTTACAATTCTGTGAATATTTTAAAGTAAAACTTGTACAATTATTTTCAGTAATAAGGGGATTTTCCGGGATTGTTCCAGCCTAAATATGAAAAACATGACCATTAACCACAAACAAAATACGTGCTAATATTGTATATTTTTTATTATTCCAGATATGCAATGTACAAAATAATTTAATAAACTCATAAATAAAAACAATAATATTAATAAATTAATAGTCCAGATTTGATGACTAAAATATGGCAAGTATAAATAAAACCTATTATCTAATAAAATGTGTTATAAATAACATTGTACAAAACCATATGGAATAAAATAAGTTTGATATAAATAAATACAGAGTACAACATAATATGAATACTAAATGACAGTTCAGTTGTCACTTTTTTGGAGTGTCACTTTCACTGATAATCGTTTGAAAATGTACGAGATTTTGATTTTTTTTATTCGGCGTAATAAAAACGGCACTTCAGCCGTTAAAGTTTGAAGGGTCCACGATTTTTTTTATTTGAGCCTTTTGGACGAAAAAAAATCCGAAACGATTTGCTTCACAAGACAAACTTCTGATGTAGTTCTACACTCTCAGACGATTGTCAGTGTAACATACTACATCTAAAAATAGTAAATGCAAGTTGTATATTTTAATAAAAGCGCGTTCTTTGGAAGTGTCACGAAATGAGCATTATAATTTGGAGAACGAGAAAAACGCGCCAATTCGTTATTTTGATTAAAAGATTTTACATGGAATTTAATGTTCACTAAAATCGTTGATCTAATTAATATCTACTGATCACATTTCGAATAAATCTAATAAGTATTTGATTTTAGTTTAGTCTTTGTATTTGTTACTACATTGGCAGTCGTGAACTATGATAATTATCTACTATTTTGTGACGAAACCCTAAACAGTCTCTTTAGTTCGTTAACCTACCCATAATAGGCGCAACAATAATCTTAGAGTACTCTAAAATGGTAACTTCATTCATAGACTATGTAAAGTTAACTATTCGCTTGGAATATAGCCTAAATATTTAAATGAGGAAGTAATTCGAAGTGTCTGGAACATGAATCAGACTTGATTAAGAAAAAAAAAAGAAGAGAATTAACATTTTTTCAGATCTCGAAATCACACACAATAAATTGATTTGGAAAATAGCACGAAATTACAAAAAACCAAATAACTCAAATCGTAGATTAGGCAATTTACATAAATTAGAACTTAAATTAAACATTAGTTGGTGGCTCTAAACCACAGATAATTGATTTCATAACACTAGCAGCTGCTAGGGACGCGTAAGGCTGCCATTCCTTACGTCTAGTTCCATCTTTGTAATCGGAAATTCCGCGAATTATAACGAAACTGTCCTTGCAATTACCAAGGACTGATTCAATAACTGCATCAAACTCACAGTCAAATGCCAAAGCACCGACTTCAGCTGCAAACTGCTGTCTCAATCTGTCGTCTCTAACCACTTGTCTGCCGGAAGCTATTGTTGACAGATGAATCCTGGGGCAACCTTCCTGCCTAAAATATAACACAGTTTGATAAATGATTAAATTACAGCGCAATATCTTTAACCGTAAGTTTTACTAAAGTGTAGTCAACCAGCTTTACAAAAAAATTGTTGAAATTATAAAATAAAATATAAAGTGGTACTACCTAGCAAAGTTTTAATTATTCCGTGATTTCAAATGTGTATACAAAGTATAGCACTACAAGTCAGTGCAAATCAATTCTACCGCCACCCACCTAATAATTCTTTTCTTAGTAGTTTTTGTACGTGACAAAGTAATAACAGATTTTCGTGGTACAACCATCGGTTTTCTCCTAATTTCAGGTTTTTTGTTACTAATATGTAATTATTAAAAGACAAGTCAACGATGTAAATATTCAAATAACCTACCTTTTAGTCGTTTTATCTTGTGGAACTGGATGAGCTACCTCTATAAGGTCTCTTTCGCCTATGGTCATGTATAATTTATCAGTTTCGACACTCGGGGGCGTGAAGTCAGTTTCAATCTGAGAATTAAGAACATTTAAACCATCTTTGAGATATTTGCCCCAAGGTGACACAGTTCCATTATCACCACTAGCGGACGACCTCAAATGTGCCGCTATTTCTTGTAGAATGAAATTATTAGGTCTGTAATGTTTCACTTCAAAATCATACCCTTTGTCGCTGGCTTTAGTAGTTTCGCAATAAACGTATACATCTCTATAAAATGCACAAATTAGATTCTTTACCGATTTTCAGCTAAAACCTACTTGTTACTGACAGGATGTGAAATCACTACATCGCCCAATCTAACATGCTTATTATAATCAGTATAATGTGGAACTCCGCCTCCCACACCCACCAAAAACACATAATCGACTTTCTGGAAAGTTCCTAATAGTCGCGTTGTTGTATTTCCAGCTGCAGTCATTGCTTCTCTGGTATGACCAACAGATGGTAGTTTAGTACATACAATACGATGCGCTCCGATATTGCCCAATGTGTACACGTTGGATTCTCCTAGAATGACACCACACCTACTTTAAACAAATGAATAAACGACTGACACACTACCCAAAACAATCCGTGATGATTTTTTTATTTGTACAGTTGCATTTAAATGACAATCCAAGTCTGTCTAGTGTTAGCGTTATGTGGCAAGGTGGAAATAAGCATATTGCATACAAATGCAGACGGAACAAACACGTGATAAGTGATTTCTATGTACAAAACACATAAATGGTGACGTCACAAGTGAATCCCCAGCATCTGAATACCAATTTTTTAACCTTACCGAATCTGGTCCTTGACTTATCGCTTGTAGGGCTGTTGGGACCTGTCCATTGCAAGACGTATAGTTTTAAACATTTATCAACACAAAAGGCAATTAACAAGAACACATTTTAAATGATAGTACTGAATAAACGCGATAAATATTTGCTTAAAACTAAAAATTAAAGTGCAATTACTTTGTAAAAATGTTATGTAGTATGTCCAAGAAAAATGGAACAAATTCAAATAAAAAAAATCGAAACAGAAGCCTGTACAAGCCAAGTTTTTCACGTGGATATATTTTGCAGACCAACCTGAAAAGTTTTGAACTGTTTAAAGTTCACTAGTCAAATGAAACAAATGTTTAAAAAACAGGTAAACATACACAAAATTTGGTTTGAAATAAAAAAACAAAACGTTAGGTGAACAAATTGAAATTCAAATTTTAACAGTGCAGATTTGTTTGTTTTTCATTCATGAGTTCTCACTTTGGAGGAACGATAACACAAAGAATCGTTTAAATGAACCACTCCTGATGCGTCTGGGTAAAGTATAAAGAGTCTTTTCTGGTTTAAACATTTAAATTTAAATGGCCATATAATTATTTTGACGAGAAACATATGCAAATTTACCACAGCAGTTGCTGTAAAACCACGAATAACCATTAATTAATTATTTATATCTTTAACTCAATGACGTAATTGAGGACGCTTTCCAAAAAAGGGTTATAAAGTGGAAAGTTTTAAAATTTGGTTTAAAATAAAGCCACAAAAAGTAAATTAACCTATTCCAAGATTTCCCGAATTTGTTTATATTGTTCTCCACAAAAAAGAAATTGAGGGTAATGAATTCAAATTTAAAAACAGCGCCGTTTCCAAACGTCAATCATATCCGGAGTGTCACATTCCTAACCTCAAAATATACATTCACGTTTATTTTTATCTCGATTAATGTAAACCGAAAACGAAAAGTACGATGATAACCCCGCGATTTAAGCTAGCGCAAACAGAAACGACGGTTACTATAAACATAAGAGCCCCATACAGTAATTTACGTGACCTAGAAGCGACAATTGATGAAGATGTGTTCATTTTCTTCAGTAGCCCCTATTATTTACGCCTACAGTTACCAGGTCGACTTGTCGAAGACGATTCTAACAAAAGTTCGTTCGATGTCGACGCTGGGGAGTTTACGTTCACAATAAAGAAGGCTATCGAAGGCGAGTATTTCCCAGATTTAGACTTGATTACCAAACTACTTATACCAAAAGTGCAAGTGACGGACGCTAACGATGCTAGCAGAAAAATAACAGTTTTGTCCAATCAAGATCAAACTGAAAAAACGGAGCAAGAATTAAATGAAGAGTTTGGGTTTGCGCTGTCTGGTAAAGAAAATTTTCATCACATAGCAGCAGAATTCAAAGATGTATTTGAAGTGGATCCTCGAGAAGTAAAGTTAGCTGAAAGACATAAAATGCGACTGCAGTATGAACAAGGAAAGTTTAATGTGGACCATTATTTGAGTGATTATATTGAAAATGATGAAGTATTGGAAATTGTGGCTTTAAAATCACCATGGGCAGATTTAAAAAGAAATGATATCCAATTTACTGACAGTGAGTTAGATTTTCTAAAAGATTTACCAAATAAACAATATAACTTGAGCGAAACGCAGATTAATTACTGTTACTATTCTCTAGTGGATATATTATTTGCGTTTTGTTATGACAGAAGAACCACAGAATTTGAAGGATCATCAGAATCTGGATGGAATATCATCAAACTTGCTGCTACGTTTTGCTGGCTGGATGTTTTCCAAACTCCAAAAGAAGCTCTTGTTAGTGGATTCAGAAGAAGTGTAATTTATCCATTGTATCGTAACTTTGACTTAAGCCAAACAGTTTTGGCAGATTTAAGACAGCTGTTGCATTTAGGCGAAAAATATATTATTAAATGTTTGATCGAAATATATAACATGTTTTTAAAAGGCGACTGTTGTCGATATATTCTCAACAATTTATTTATTAAAGATTATATTATTTATATAATGAAGTGGGACCAAACACAATGGAAAGAAATTGTGTCTCAAGTTGAAAACATAGTAATTAAGAAGAATGATTTAGGTTTAAATCTACAAGAAATAGAAGACGACGTTTGTCAAAAATTGGGTAATTTCACCAGTCTTAGTATTGGCGACCACGATTCTGACGACACTGACTGTTACAGTGATAGTTCTAGTGAAGAAACTTCCAGTGACAGTAGTGATAGCACCACTGATTAATATTATGTATATTTATTTATAACAATAAAATTTATGTCACAAATACTCACCCACTGTTGTGTATCTAACGAAAGTCTCCTTGTTTTCAATCATTGCGTCTACAGCTAACTTCTCACAGTACTGAGCTGTAATAATGGCTATTGTTGGTTGTTTAGAGCTAACCATTGTTGGCATTTGCTTAACGATTATTACTTGAGTGTCTTGAGATTGCTGTCTTGTGTAAGCTCCATGGTCCATTGCTTTAACAACATTACTTGATTGCAGCTCAGCCATATACTGAGCAACTTCTTCCTCATCCCATCCATGTTCCCTATTAAATAATAATTAAAATGGAAATGAACACAAAACCTGAAAACTTACTTTGCTATGTCTTGAATTGTTACAGGATTTGGATATGATGACTCAATAATTTCAATAACTTTGTCTCTTGTTAGTAAAACCACATTGCCCAGAGAATTTTCATCTGCTGATACTACAACAAAAATAGTTTATAAAATGTGTAATAAAAAAATTGTCTCAAATCCATAATTCCCACAATTTAAACGTCCTTGATCTACTAAAAATTAACATTAAAACAATCAAACAATATGGAAATGATGTCATAGAATAACGTTTTACTTCCTGGCGCAATATATGGAAATCATGAATTAGTACAAAAATGGTAACAGTTGCAAATACTCGAGTTTGATTTTCATTCCATTAGTGAATATCATTACGTGGTTAAAATTCTACAATCTCAATAATACTCTATTAAAAAAATGCAAATTACAGAATTAGCACTTGTTTAGTTGGTTTCAAATAAACAAAAACTGCAAATAAGTCAAAATGCTGAATTGCAAAATAATCTCTCAACCAAGTGTCTAATTTCAAACCTGAACACTTAGATGTTAGCTCGAAATGGAGATACCCAGGTCGAGCTACAACCACAAAAATAAATTAACGCAGTAAATGAAAATTCGTCCATTCCATAACAATGTAAATATAAAAACTTACGCGGCCTTTCGGGAACTGCAGATTCTTGTAGTTGCGTCAACTGAACTTCTAATTTACTTATACTTTTGTAACTGTGTTGCATTAGCTTCATTATTTTTTTAATAAAGCCCACATAATCTACAACATTTGATTAACTTTAAGTAAATTTCTAATTAAATTACAACCTCTTGGAAACTCCTGAGGGCTAACCAACTCCTTAAAGAAATCCTGCGCAATGGTTGCTGGTTCCATATCCTTCACTTCTGGGTGATCCCGGAACCAAAATCGCAAAGTACGAGATTCTGGTGTATGTTTACCTGTTTGTGCGCTAACAAGGAATACTCGAAACTCTAGAGTTAGTTGTGCAGGAGACGATTCACCGTTTTCTGAAATTATTATTAAATGGGTCACTTCGAAAGTCTGCTTGTGTTCTTACCATTTGCCGTTTCTTTATTTATTATGATTCCCGTGTGTTCTCCACCAGCCACATGCATCTTATCATTGGTTTTGTTCACAGCCCGTCTTTCGATAATTAATGTTGTAGAATTGGCAGTTTTGCATTTTGGGGTCATCACAACTTGTTCTTGTGGTGTTTCCATTTCAATGTTTTGCTGCAACAATTTCATATAGATTTTCTAATGATGGGATCATCAGATGAAGTCAGTGAGTCATATTCTATAAATATAAATATGGTACAATAAGAAGAAACGGTAGCACCTCGGAAAAAAATCAATTTTTGTGAATGGTACAGATTGGTACATTAATTCGACTATAACACGATCAGGGGAAATGAGCGCAAAAGTAAATGTGTAACTAACTTTATTACTAGATCACAACACAACTGCATACAGATATTTTACAAATGAACTGAGGAGTGGAACTTTCTAAAAATAAATTAATAGACTTTAGTAACAATTATCTCTATCCGGTTGCAACCAATTAGGTAGCATGAGAGAAATAACAACTTACAAGAATCCACGTCTCCTGTTAAAGTCTTTTGATCAACTACTATTTCACTATGCAAACGCACAACACCCACCAGCCCACTACTGATGCATTACTCGCTCTTACTCACGCTGTCACCGTTGTCGTTCGTTGTTTTGCTACGCAAGTTTGGGAGCAGTCAATAGTAATGTTAACCAAAAACCAGATTACTCTCTCTGAATCCACGTTCTGTGAAACGTGAATGACGTAAAATGACAATAATGTGACAGTCTAGTGACCAGTGTGACCGTGGGGATGACAGTCACAGTGACAGTTGTTCGATGACAGAATTCGTAAATTGCTCAACTGTTTACTCCACCGCGCTCCAACCACGGTGGTAGAACACAATTTGTAATTTGTAGTCAGCCTGACAGGGCTCGTATCGTCGTTAACAATTAAAAAATATTGTTTATCATGGTATATATTTTTATTTGACGTAAAATAAACAATGATAAATACAGACGGTTGAGGAAAATTGCTATACATATAAAATATCTATATACAAAATAAATGAATTATACAAAACTCTCTTCACATACACCTTGTAAAACTTTTATGACCTAAGCGGCTTAAGCCAAAACACCCTTATAAGTCAAATTGGCTCTTGTATAACTTAACTCAGTTCACATCGTTCACATATACCTAGTAAAACTTTACAGTTCCATTATGGCAACAATGGACAGTATGACAGTAATAATCCTTGCGATTCCGGTCCATTAAGCTTACAATAGCCAGTTTGACTTATGGGTGATTTGGCCGCTTAAGTCATAACAGTTTTACAAGGCGTATGTCAAGTGAGTTTTGTATAGTTTAGATACCTACATGTAAAGTAGTTAACTAGATACCACCACTTTTATTACTTATTAGTGATTAGTGAAACAGGCAGAAGATTTAAAACTTATTTTTATGGAGACATTTCATATCACTTTTTTGTATCATACGGTGTAGCTATCACAATACTAATAATAATAATTTAATCTACTTTGTATTAGCCTACATATTAAACTGTGCCAAACAAACAAGCATAATGGGGATGCCCTCACAGCAGTTTATTAGTAAACTCGGTACATAATTAATAGAATAATAGATACGTCCTTTTTTTATGAAGAAGAAAAGCTCCGTTTAGATATTTTTATTGGTAAGCTGACATTCGTAAAGTCTAAATACCTACCTTTATTTGTACAAGGTTATTATTCGTGCGGAACTGGTTAGGGCAGAGAAGTTATAAGGAATTCACGTTCGGTAGATGTAACTAGATTTGGTAACTTTTTTTTTTAAGCTGTGTAACTGCGGACATAATTGTTCTAGTGTATAATGTATAACTGGAATGTCAGAAATTAGGTATCGAAAATGTGACATGTAAGTAAGTAAATGTCAAATATCGAAAATGTGATGGTTTTCTGGTGATCTGGTGAATCTATTTTTGAATCCAGGAGAAAATTGCATCGCTCTAAAAGCCCAAAGAGCAACCCGCATGTAAAAATGTGAATCTTTTCTCTTCACTAGTTATTTTAGGAGGACAAGCTTTGATGTCATCATCATGGATCCACAATTTTACCATGGATCCGTGTTGGTGCATCCATGTCTCATCCAAGAAAATGAAAAGTAAATCTTCACCACTATCACGCAATTAGAGATACCGCTTTAGAAATTTGATTCTGGTAGCGATTTAATGTGAAAAACTTCGCCTTCGGAAACCTAAATTTATACGTGTAGTACGTACAATTATTCTCCAAGCCGAGTATATTCCCTTTTACAAAACAATAACGATTATATAAACTTAAAAACCAATTGTAGAGCGGACCCAACAAAGCATGTAGGTATATAAATCTGGGCAGTCGTCTTTCTGATTCTGAGTATAATATTAACGGCACCGACGCCGTTGTATCGGTATTATTTTAAAATTCGAAAAACACTCGAGAACACTAGCGAACTTTACGGAAAATATTTCTGCCACCAGTTTAACTGTTTCCGTTTTACCCACGCATTGTCTATTTTTCCCAGTAATTTTTTCAAAACTACGAAATATTTCTTGTTTCTTTTCCTTTAAAATGGGCTTTCTTATGACTACTTTTGTGGAAATTGTTGCCACGCTGTATTTAAGGATTTTCTTCAAACGAAGCGTGTTAAAATTAGAAAAACTTCGTTTTTTCCAGACAATTCAGATTTGACATTTGAATTAAAAAATTAGACAGTTGATGCCAACCTTTAATTTCTAGTGATCTTAAGATTGCAACTTAACCACAGAAAAAATTCTGTCAGTTACTTCTACCGAACGTGAATGCTTATTACTGGGTTTAATCCCATTACGGTTACTTAAATATGGGACAACTGACCAAGTTTAGTGTTTGTGAACTCAAAGCAAACAGAATTAAGTTTGAAACTTACAACTCCCTGTAGAGGCCCTACACGGATTTATAAGTTTCAAATTCAATTCGGTTTGGTCTCTAGATTCGTAAGTTTATTTTATGAAAATAACGACAATACAGCCGTAATATTTTTTACTTCCTGATCGTAAGCTACGAAAGACGAATGGAGACTTTCATGTTTTCTCGACGTTTCACGACTTCTAGACTGAAAAAATAGGCTCTCCATTTCCGTTTATCTGTCGCCTGTGTCGATTTTTGTTAGACAGACAATCTCCGAAACTATTGTCAAATTCTGTAATGTTAAATGGTGGTAAAACGCCGATCCTAATTTGTCTAATCATCCCCACCAACAATGCAAAACTTCATAGTAATAAATGTTTTTAAAATTTTATAAAATATATCTAACCCTGCATGTGGTCTGTGGTTTATAAACTTGTGTTAATTTTTTACCCTAGACATCCAAATTTTTGAAAATTTGCAACTTGTAAATGTTTTAAGAAGAATCGCCACGTTTTGCTCATATGACGTCAAAATATTTCAGAATGTAATATATCTGCATTACATGAAAACAGTTTATCATTTGTTTCAAATTTTGTTGAAATTTTTGCCTCACATATTTTTAAAAATCAATATCAATTACTCCTATTATTTATGGAAATTTCGTGTCGTAGAAGCTTCTTTTTACCTTATTTTCAGCAAAAGAGGTCAACAACGTGTCTGAAAGGATGCTAGAGTTTTCTAAGCTATGCGTCTGTTTTGAGTGAGTTTTTCCATTACAAAATTTGGTAATGACGTCATCAACAGTTTGCAAGGAACGCGTATCAGTTTGGATAGAGACAGTGTAATTAAATTAGATATATGAGTTTAATGCTAAATTACTAATAATAACAGTACTGTATTCCCAAATTGGAAAATTGAGTGAGTCGTTCTTGATTTAATCTGTATAAGTAATTCTAAAAACTATGACTGCACTGATAAACCACAAGTATAGAGTCATAATATTTTGCATATTTCAGAGAGGATTATTTGGGAAAATTTTGAGATGACGTCATCAATTTTTTGGAAGGGGATAAACGATTCAATTTTGATTAACGATTTACCATGATTACGACAACGTTAAAACGTTTGGAAGATTTCAGAGCATTCGGTTTTGCAGTTTCAATTGTTACACAAGTTTGACTTTTTTTCCAAAAATCTGGATGTCCAAGGTGAAAACTCAACAGAGATTCATACACCACAAGTATAAAATTAAAAGTAAATTTACGATTGTAAATTTTGGAGATGACGTCATCCCTATTACAATATCTACTTATTTCTTGTCTTACGCTCGGGAAATAAAAAATAAATCCTGTATGATAAGAAATATCGAAAAAGAAAATCTAGATCTCAATCTGAAGTTAATTTCGACGAAGCGCAGTGTGATAATCTGATAATTCTAATCTTCTAATAAGTAAAAAGTTTCCACATTTGATGAATTCTTTGAAAATCAGGTCTTTTAACGTTTATTGTCACTTTTAAAAAATACGACTTACCAAAGTGTTATAATTTTCTTCACTTCATTTAGAACAGCAGGAATAATAACTCAAAGTTTTAACAACTTTTAGGCGAATTGTACAACAGCTTGTCGTTTCTAAAAAATGTAGTTTGAGGGACTATATGATGTAGGTACAAAGTTTTTACCATAGTACTTTAGTGAAATACACGCGCCCTTTCCAGGTGTATCAACAACAGCTGCGCATTTAAAAGAAATGAAGCGTAGTTCCATATGTATATTTTCATCAAGGGTCAGTAAACTGTAGGTATTATTTGTTTTATTATTTTGATAAGGTGAAACATGTAGATACATAAATGAATCTAAAATGTTGGAACCGACACTAAATGAAGACTAAAAATTAAAAAAAGCACAATAGTACCAGTACAAGTCTCTGATCTATAACACTGATTAAGTACATTTGTAGTTAATAACTTAATCAATGTTTATGACTTGTACTCTATTAGACATACCGGATGAATCACTAAGCGTGCACTCCTCAGTATCTCATTAGTCATTAATTATTAGAAATAGAAAAACAGTCAAAGACTAACGTGATACAGTTCTTTGAGAACAATGCATTCAAATTGTTTTCAACTATACAGAGTGTTTTGTTTTTAAAGCATAACAGGCAACTTAGTCTTTACAAGTAAGTATATGTATCCCTATATTTTTACATATTCTCAGGCTGTATTTTATTTTTGAAATTTCGATGCGACGTTGCCACGTTATTTCTCTTCAAAAATTTTTAACAATGGAAGGGTTCACAAAAAAATCGCAATAGGGTTATTTTTAAAATCTGTGTTAAGTATAATATTTTGCGGAGAGGTAAACCTGTTTTGTTGTGGTATAAATAAAATTGAGTTTATTAAAACTATGTTTATAAAAATTCTAATTATTACAATTTTCAAATATCAATATTTCAGTTTTTCAAACAGAAAATCCTGAATTTTATTCTACTTTTCATTAAGTATTTTCTGTACACAAAGTAATTCAAAAATGGCTCACTAACTGTATGACACGTTGTTAAGGACTGTTTATTGGGCCAAATGCAAAAGACATAGCCCTTAAAGTTTAATTTTTCTTTTGGAGTTTGGACCATATTTTAGATTCACTTCTTATAGTGTTGGGGTTGGGTATACTAAAAACGTGCCATTTGTATACAATAAAATTTTACAATGTCATTGCGAGGGGTTTACTAAGCTGTTCAGCCGCTGAGTGTCCCACCGACTTTTATTATTCAAAATAATTTTGGAAATATCATGTCTTTTTCCATATACTTAGTTTTTTCATTTTGTAGATATATTATAAAAAAATTAAAAATTGTTCAAAATGAATCTAACAACAGTAGATACCTAGCTGATTTTTCACCTTTTTTAATCATTATGTAATATTAATATGATATTTTGTTTTTGCAAGTAAACGTCAAATTAACGTAAGGATGTTTTTAAGGGTGCCCAGTAGCAGACCGAAAAATGAGCTAAATAGATTTTTATTTTACGGGCGTAATTTCAACTTTGAAAAAAAGATCGACATTTCAATTGATAGATTATGTCTAAATCTCTGGGGAACACACAATATTTTTTAAAATAAGTGATTGTTTAGTGTTTAATTAATTGTTCATTCTTCGAAGGAATTTGCATTTTTAGACGAGGAGAGAGCATTTTTCGCTTCAGCTTTTATATCAGTGCAAAGACAACATTGAGCTCTATGGGGAAGAACCGGTCATTTTTGTTTAAAATTTATATTTATCAAAATATTTGCGTTTTAAAAAAATACTGAATAATGAAATTAAATTGAAACTAGGCAACTCTATTTACAAAGGATTCGTTTCCATAAATGGTTGAGTTTGACACAGCAGGGAGCCTTGCCGACCGACCCTTTCAGGTAATCC